ACAAAGCTTGGCAATTACGGATCGTCAAGTTAAAAAATAAAGCCAATACTTTGCTTGTGCCAATGCGGAGCTCGGAAAGTCAGAAATCCGCTTAGAATGTACTGTATATGTACACCCCTTTTTTCCTTTATGATTCAAAAATTTTCAAAGCCAACCATACCAATTGATTTGAAGATTTGTCTTTAATTATGAAAAATAATTTAGTAAGCATGGTACTAGTATGCTATCATATGTAGACCAATACATGGACATTTACGTTTATATGAAAATGAAATTTAATATACGTACATAGTAGTACATTTAAGGAATGTTTTTAAGTTTTGTGTGAGTTATTGGTGTGTAAATCACACAGACTTGTCACGTAGGCATATTTCATAGCGCTTCATGAAAAATATGCCTACGTGCAAGTCTGTGTGATTTACACACCAATAATTCACACTAAACTTAAAATCATTCCTTATATATATTTACATTTTTCAAGTTTAAAAGCACTAATGATATACTCAGTATTTGAATTTCCTGCTGTCCTATATCGTTACATTTTTATTTACGTCTCTGTAGCCTCATTGTGACGTCATTTTAGCGCCAGTTTCACCGTGTATATTTCTACGCATGAGTATGCACAAAAATGACTTTCAAATCAATTTCACAGCTGGCTTAGTAGAAAAATACAGCAAATATAAATATAGTAAAATATACATGTGTCACAGCCTTATATATGTGGTAAAATACAACACAAGAGGCCCAGGGGCCACATCGCTCACCTGAGCACTATGGCTAGGAAAAAGCAGAAATCATTTCAATCTTGAAAGGTTGAAAAGTTTAAATATAAAAGTGGTTGGGGGGGGGGGGGTGTCAGGAATTGAACAAATTTGAATCTACATTATCTGAGGATGCTTCCATTTAAATATGACCAATCATGGCTTTGCTGTTCTCGAGTAGAAGATTTTTAAAGATTTAACCTATGTATTCCTATGTAAAACTTTGATCACCCATTGTGGCCCCACCCGATCCCCAGGGGTCATGTTTGAACAAACTTGAATGTACACTATCTAAGAATGCTTCCATATAAATATGACCAATCATGGCTTTGCTATTCTTAACAAATTGTTTTTTTTAAAGATTTGTACTATGTGTTCCAATGTAAAACTTTGATCGCCCATTGTGGCCCCACCCTACCCCCGGGGGTCATGATTCGAACAAATTTGTATGTACACTATCTGAGGATGCTACCATATAAATATGACCAATCATGGCTTTGCTATTCTTAACAAATTTTTTTTTTTTTTTTTTTTTTTTTTAGAATTTTTACTATGTGTTCCTATGTAAAACTTTGATCGCCCATTGTGGCCCCACCCGACCCCCGGGGGTCATGATTTGAACAAATTTGAATGTACACTATCTGAGGATGCTACCATATAAATATGACCAATCATGGCTTTGCTGTTCTTGAGAAGAAGATTTTTACTATGTGTTCCTATGTAAAACTTTGATCTCCCATTGTGGCCCCACCCGATCCCCGGGGGTCATGATTTGAACAAATTTGAATGTACACTATCTGAGGATGCTACCATATAAATATGACCAATCATGGCTTTGCTGTTCTTGAGAAGAAGATTTTTAAAGATTTTTCCTATATATTCCTATGTAAAACTTTGATCGCCCATTGTGGTCCCACCCGACCCCCGGGGGTCATGATTTGAAGAAATTTGAATCTACACTACCTGAGGATGCTTCCATGTAAATATGACCAATTATGGCTTTGTTGTTCTTGAGAAGAAGATTTTTAAAGATTTTTCCTATATATTCCTATGTAAAACTTTGATCGCCCATGTGGCCCCACCCTACCCCCGGGGGTCATGATTTGAACAAACTTGAATCTACACTACCTGAGGATGCTTCCAAGTAAATATGACCAATCATGGCTTTGCTGTTCTTGAGAAGAAGATTTTTGAAGATTTTTCCTATATATTCCTATGTAAAACTTTGATCTCCCATTGTGGCCCCACCCGACCCCCGGGGGTCATGATTTGAACAAACTTGAATGTACACTATCTGAGGATGCTACCATATAAATATGACCAATTATGGCTTTGCTGTTCTTGAGAAGAAGATTTTTAAAGATTTTTCCTGTATATTTCCTATGTAAAACTTCGATCGCCCATTGCGGCCCCACCCTAGCCCCGGGGGTCATGATTTGAACAAACTTGAATCTACACTACCTGAGGATGCTTCCACATAAGTTTCATGTTTTCAAGCACAGTGGTTCTTGAGAAGAAGATTTTTTAATGATGCCATTAATTTTTCACGAATTCTTAATTATCTCCCCTTGGAAGAGGGCGTGGCCCTTCATTTGAACAAACTTGAATCCCCTTTACCCAAAGATACTTTGTGGCAAGTTTGGTTGAAATTGGCCCAGTGGTTCTTGAGAAGAAGTCGAAAATGTGAAAAGTTTACAGACGGACAGACAGACGGACAGACGGACTACAGACAAAATGTGATCAGAAAAGCTCACTTGAGCCTTCGGCTCAGGTGAGCTAACAACACGGCTGCTGGGTTCGATGTTTATATATAACATATAATCTACGATTAAGGAATTTATAACATAGAAGGAAGGGTGACCTGAAATATAACAACAGGTATTAAATATCTCTCGCCTCACTCACACTTTTACGCGGATCATAATTTAAATTTTATAAATTTGGATAATTTAGAAAATACTCGATTTGAATAAAATGATCAAAGAGATATTGAATAATAATTAAATCCTTAGAAATAATTTACCAATTATTTCTTACCGTAATTCCTAGACTGAAGTTCACAATTATCATGAGATAAAGTTGTGTTGGGGAGAGAGAGCGTCTTCTCTCCCCAAAGTCTTAGGTTGGAGTGCTTGAGAATTAGTATTGGCGCGAATGCGCAGGGGACAGAATAAAACCAGTTTGACCACTCACACACCCGTACTCTCACTGACCACTCACCCGTATAAATGAATGAATGAATGAATGAATGAATAAGGCAATGAATGAACATAGTAAATTCCGTAGTGAGAACGGAATTCATTACTTACTATAATAATATAATGCCTTAGACAAATGTATGAATATATGAATGATAATTAGTAATATTAATTAATTAATTATAATTCACCCTGTGACACATGTAAGCTGGATTTATTTTAAAACATGACGTCCCATTCTTGTTACTGACGTCGCACAAAGCAACGTCAAAATATCACAACGTTGTAGTAAACTATGCTACTTTTACGTTTATCTAAAACATAAGTAAAGCTTTGTACATGCATATATTGATAATTTCATGAAAATATATACTCTCTCAAAGAGTTTTAAGGAATATTATTTAATTTTGACACGGGGCCAAATTTTGTGCCAAACGCACCTTGTCCTTTCACTAAGGTCAATTGAGCCCTAGGCCTGTCCTGCACCAGAACACTTGATCCAGTGGTCTTGAATTTCACAAACCTGGTAAAAATCCCTTTCTCATTATATCTTTGTACATTGTTTGCATCCTAGAAGCCCAGAGCACAGAATAGAGTTTTCAAAACATTGATGCAATTTTATTATATAATTCAATAGAGTTTCACCCTACCACCATGACCCCTGACCCAGGATATGAATTGCACAATTTGGACAAGGCACCCTTGCTCATCATAACTATGCACTTAGTTTATCTGCTAAATACCAAGGAGTAGAGAAGAATATTTTCAAAGAATTAACGCATTTTCACTACATAAACAGAGCGCTGCCCTAACATCAGAGGCCCTGACCCATGGGCTATGAAATTCATTTCACATTTAAAAAAGAGGCAACTTTGTTCATCATAACTATGCACTTAATTTATTTACCAAATAGGGCCTACCCAGGAGTAGAGATTTTCAAAACATAAAGTTCTGCATTTTCAATATATAATAATCATTAAAGCCTAAGAATTCCAGAGGACATGAATTCATAATTTTGGAAGAAGCACCCTTACTCATTACAACCATACACTTAGTTTGTTTGCTTAATACTTAGGAGCAGAGAAAAAATATTTTCAAAAAATAATGCATTTCACTATATATTCAACAGGAACTCCATCATAACTCCAGAACTTCTGACCCAGGGGTCATGAATTTCACAATTTTGGTAAAGGCCCCATTGCTTTTTGTAATCATCAAAAGTTTGTCTGCTTGATGACCAGGAGTAAAGAATTAATTTGGGGGTACAATGAAATTGATCTTCTTTGTTACCCTTCACTCATAAATACTCTACAACAAAACTGGTTAATCTTGCTTCAGACGTTTATGAGAAGAACCTCAAAATGTTTTAAAGTTTACAAGGAACAGATGAGGAAATAAGTCAGACAAAAATAAATGACAATAGGTCAGCCAAGTGACTTGTAGCTGCAGAACTGTAGCTCTCTTGAAAAAAAAAAACTATAGTCCCCTCCGCTTTCACCGGTAGGGGACTAAAAATATATATTGACAGATCTGAGACCTACAGTGCCACCCACTGAAAAAAAAGTATATTTATATGCACAATGCACTGTTTATCAATTTGTTTCTCCATGTCTCTCAAACTGCCATCTCAAAATATTACAAACTTTGTGTTCCTAACATATTTTTTCTCAATTTCCACAAAAAATTATTCCTTAAAACCATTGTTAATAGCCCTTCTGGGTCTGAAATTGAGACCATCAAATATTTTGCCTATTCATACTGCCATTTTGGGTGGCAACATAATTCAGTCCAATGCACTGCGTACATATTCAATACGAGAGTAGTTGATAGAGGTCCCAAAAATTTTTTGAAATCAGGCCCCAAGACCATAAACTGAGACTTAAGTCAAAATTTCAATCCAATTGTAACTTATGAAATAATTTTAATAATGAAACAAAATTTTCTTCATATATTTGAATTTAAATGTTATATAAAATTGCAAATTTTTAAGCAAATACATTAAATAAAACTCAAGATATTAAAAATCAAAATTTTGACTTAACTATTCTCAGTTTATGGTCTTAGGGTCTGGCTTTTGTGCAGTTGAGGTAAGAATTTGGAGAAATTAATCCAGAAATGAACACAACTTTTTGTGTGCAATAAATATAAAGTTTTTTCTTTGGGTGGCACTGTAGCTCTGGTCGTCCATCCCAATTTTTTCAGACCAGCGAGCCACAGATCTGCAGCTAATTGACTCAGGTGACCTAAAAAAGGTGAAAATGTTAAAATTTTACAAACTTCACACAACACACAGCAGGCACATGGACCATGGATCTAAAGCTCACCTGGGCCTCTAACTCAGGTGAGCTAAATGTGTATACAATGTACAAGCAAAACAAAAGGACTTCTTATTAATAAGTGAAATAAACTGTTAAAATAATTGTTAAAATCTAGACCTTTTAATAATGTGAAAAGTTTTTGCTCAGTCCAACAAATATTTAACAACATATTTTTTTTTTTATTAGCAATCAATAAGTTTATATTTCACTAATTTGTTAACTGAATCTTTCATGTTGTTTCTAGCTGTACAAAATGGTATGTAACTTCACTCCCATCCTCCTGAAACTTCATAAGGCTGATAGGTTGTAGACTGTCACCACTTGTTGGTATCAACACTTCTCTCTGTGCGTGTGGTACTCCCACAATTTTAGATCCCTCCACCTGAATCTGGAGAGATTGTAAAGTGGACAGGACATCTGTGTCTACCACTTCTGTCACTGGTACCTCCGTTACATCTGACAGGTCACCAGTCAGGATTTTAGAGGCCTGGGGATGCAATTTTGAATGCTCAGAAGTTTTGGCCATTTCTTTTGATTTCTTTTTTGAATCGTCCCCTTGTCCATGTTGTTTTTTCAAGTGTTCTTTTAGCTTATCAAAGCGAGTTGTGGTGAAGGTACACTGGTCACATTTATAGGGTCTTTCATTTGTGTGTAACAGCATGTGTCGCTTCATGTTTTTGATGAGGGAGAATGACTGCCCACACACCTCACACTGGTGGGGTTTTTCTCGAGTGTGGGTCACCATATGGTACTTCAAGTTCTGCTTCCTTGTTGCTTGAAAATTGCACTCAGGACATTTATAAGTGTCCCCTGTGTGAACAAGTTTGTGAGCTTTTAATTGACTTTTATGAGCTGTAGCAAACCCACATACATCACACAAATGTTCTTTTGTGGTACTGTGGGTTACCATATGATTTTTTAGTGCATGTTTCCATTTGAATCCAGCATCACATATTTTGCATACAAATGGTTTCAGTTTTGAATGCTTAGGATAGTGGAAGTTTAATTGAGTTTTGGTCCTGAATCTATGATCACAGTACTTGCAGAAGAAGGGCAAGGGATCATCATGTCTTTTCATGTGGTTTTCAAAGTTTTCTTTTGTATCCCCATTGTATTCACACAGATCACAGTTGTAGTTTTCATGAAGGTGCTCCTTCTTATGGACATGCATACTCTTTGCCTTTTCTGATGTATATCCACAAGTTTCACACATGTATTTCCTTTTGGCCCGATCATGGGCCTGGTTGTGTTGCTGATGATTATGAATAGAATTTGTGGAGAAGGGACAGAATGCACATTTATATCTGTCTCTCTTTCTGACAAACCCTAAACCAGAAAGAGAATCATCATTAGAGTTAGTGAGGTATTGCATCTTAATGGTAAGTTTTCTTTTTCTGCCACTTCTTGATGAGAACTCAGTTACATTCCCTCCATCTTCAGCACTGGTATCCTTGAAACTTTCACGTGTTTCATCATCAGAATGTCCAACTTCACCATTGATTTTCTTTTTCTCTGGAAGAGATTTTTCATCTGTGTGACTGTCTTCTATTTGAGTTATCTTTCTTGGTCTGCCTCTTCCTCTTTTAGGACCATAAATTTCATTTTCATCTTCTGTTTGAGTTATCTTTCTTGGTCTGCCTCTTTTTCTTTTAGAATGGTGAAAAGCTTCTGAATTTTCACTTTCATCCTTCTCGGAATTTGCAGTAAGAGGGGAGCTTGTAGATGGGGACTCAATATCAACGAGAAAAGATTCAGCTAATCTTCCACTTTGTGGCGTCACCTCAACATTTTCACCATCAACCATTGTATCTTCATAAAAAACATCCATTTGCTTTTCAGCTTTACTTTCTTCTTTGACAAACCATTCACAAAAGGAACTTAATTTATATAAACACATTATCTTGGATATTTGTGCTACTTGGTTGATGATGGCTGAAGAGATGGCAACTTCACCTGTGTACATGTAATCAATAACAAGCTTGATAGCTTCACTACAGTTATCTTCATTACCCTCTCCATTTATGTGAATTTCTATCATCTGTGGTGTGTTTTGAGAAAAAGCTCGCGGGTCATCTTCCCCCTGTCCCAGGAACGTATGAAAATATGGACTAGCAGCCGCTAAAACATTGGAATGCACAGGTACACTGGTATCACAGACCTTAAGAATGACGTCACAAAACTTACTACTCTGTCTTTGTTCGTTTAACTTCTGCATTATGTTGGAAACATGTGTATTGTCGATAAATCTCGATTTCTTCACCTTCGACGCCGCCATTTTGGTATGCTCCCCGTACACAACTTTTTATTTTCACCTCATTCTAAAAATAATCGAATAAACATAAATATAATACATCTTAAAAAATCAGTTTTTCAATTGTTAACAAATGTATTCATACAAAAACACTTAATGCTTAGCGATTTAAAATTCTTTTTGGTTTAACGTACATATATCATATATGTTCTAGAAGAATGCTTGCTCCCGACACAAGTTAAATATAGTTGCACAGTCGCATTTAATATAACTGATGTCTGTGCTGAGCGCCAACGACGCAGTCTACGACGTTTCGTCTGCGCAACTTCATCATTCATTCATTTTATTTTTATTTTTTAATTTCATTATATGCGGATAAGAAATGAGTACCCCTGATATAATAGATAGAGTGGCAGTGTCCATGTTTTGCTTCGGGAAACCTGAATTATGTGTCCAATCAATCGGACAGGGGGAAGATGACCCCCGGCCGAGCTTTTTCTCAAACTACGCCACAGATGATAGAAATTCGCATCGATGGAGAGGGTAATGAAGATTATTAAGGGAATGTATAGTGATGGGGATGTCCATCCGTCCTTTACGCTTTGGGGTACCCATGCATCTCTTATCCGCAACTCCTCCGACACCGAATAAAATTAAATGATACTCGTACTTTCTCAGAATCTTTACTACACGGTGCCTTTGTGCACCTCCTCTTTTGCTTTTCGATTGGACGCATATTTTAGATTTCCCATAGCAAAACACTGTCATTCTTTCTATTATACCAGGGATAATCATTATTTTCTTATACGCAACTCCTCCTATATCACTGAATAAATTTTAATGATACTTTCACAGAATCTTAAAGTCATATATGGCATATTTTTATAAGTTCAGACTAACTAAAATTAAAAAGATCTTTCTATTTGTTTTATTACTTTGTATCAAGATAGGACTTTCCTGTAAATTACACAATTTAAATCAATCGCGTTTCATAGATATTAGAAATTTAAACCAATATAACCGATTTATTTACCGACTCCGTATTTAAATATCAGACACAGTTTAAATTCAATTTAACATTAGAAACGTAGGGGTTATTCAAGTTCAAAATCGATGAAAAATAAGGAGGAATGGGACCTTGAGCTGAAAAAATCTAGTCAATGAATTTTTTTCATATTTTGTATATCTTTAATTTAGTATGTCCTACATATCTTAAAGCAATTCTGTCATCACTTTTCTTGACTTGTTTAAGAGATATCGCCATACAAATATCGCTCCGTACAGTGTATGTTTTAAGTTTTGGTTCTTCGTGTTAACGGGTCCATTATTGAGTCTATAATGGGAATTTTTTAAACACAAACAAAAAATATGTATAAGAATACACAATTCTTCAAATATTCAGAATATAAAAAGTGTTTAGAATTTTTACGGCATTTTTTTCATATTTTCTCAATGTATATGGACTGGATAAATTACGCACTTTTCAAGACGGCTTCAACGACAAAAAAATAAACGCGCTTGTGAAAAAATTCTGTCAATAAATATTTTAAAAATTTAGGATTGAACTGAGGACCTTTTTCGTAGTAATTAATATAGTAGCAATATCGTAAGGTGAAGCTTACCTCATTATCACACAGGACATAGTTGAACAAGACATAAGCTAAGCATGGTAAAAACGCTTCATGTTTACATTTTCAGAATACGGGAAAACAACTGTGACGTCACACGAAAACTTACACAAGCGAAATGGAATATTGATTCAGATAATCTCTGCTACCAAACACGTAAAAATTATTATTGCAATTCCTGCTTCAAAAAATTTATCACGATGCATTGACTGTAAAGTGTTTTAATGTTTTGAAACTGACAAAGTAATCACTAATCAACGTGTACTTGATCTCACTGCACTGAGAGATCATATATGACGTCACGGACATGTTAGATACAGAGGATGGATCAATCGATTTCACAATTTTTTAATATTTACATGATCGTTTAATTAAGAAATAAGGTATCATTTTTAAACATCTATCGGGATATAAATACGGGTTGGTCACGAGATCAAATTCCATAAAGCCCGAAGGGCTTTATGGTAAATTTGATCTCGTACCAACCCGTATTTATATCCCGATAGATGTTTTAAAATGATACCTTATTACTTATATTTACATTTGTGACTTATTCATATTATTTATTAGCCTGATTATAACCTTTAACGCATGAAATGTTTTATTTTTTCAAACTCAACGGCACGAGTTTGATCTATTGATCGACCCTTTATGACGTCACTGAGAAATTACGTCGAACGTTTATGACGCGAGGAACCCGTGTTTATACGGATATAGATACGCGTTGCTTTTAATAGTGTTATATAAAGGAAAACATTTACAAATGTAAATATAATTTTTTAATTTTTTTTTTTTACATAAAATTTTTAAGCTCAACAAGTTGAACAAAAATTATACAGATACAGGTGATTTTGAGAAGGCTGGGGGGTTGTGGCCATTTTCAGTCTATATTGATCTCCTTTAGAAGAAGAGCTCCATATAAAGATATACAAAAATAATCAAATTTTAAAACTAAAATTTATGAAATTTTTCTTTGCCAAATGAAAGTTGACAGCTTAAGATATCATACCTAAAAAATTAAGTTATATCTGATGGTTAATTTGTTGACCCCCAAGCCTTCTTAAGGTCAAGATCTAGTAAATGAAAGGAGCCCTACAGATTTTTCAAATTTGAGAACTGAATTCCTTTTATGATGCTTTATAACTATAGCTTGGTCAAATAAGGTGTATCGGGGTATAATTTGTAGGTAAACAAGACGAAAACTCATATTTTAAACTGTCATTTTCAATGAAAAATTAAGAAAGTCAGTCATGAATATGGGAGTTTTTGTCATATCAGACAAATGAAATGTATCCAGATTGCCTACAGTCTCTCAGAAAACAGTAATTTGTATGTTCTTAGCCTCTTCTTTGAAATAATGTAAAATTGAATATAGGAACCGGGATTACTTTTTATACGATTTCAAATTGAATTTCAGGAAAATACTTTATTTTCTACATAATTCTATTACAGCCGTAAAGTACGGGAAAAAAGAAAGTTTAATTTGAAAAGGTCAAGCTCTAGTAAATGATTTTAGAATGCATTTTTGTGCTAGATCCATTATGACGTCAAAATCAAATTAAACTTTCTTTTTTCAATTTGAAATTATGTGAAAAGTAATCCCGAAAACTATATTCAATTTAATATTATTTTAAAGAAGAGGCTAAGAACATACAAAATTGCCGTTTTCTGAGAGACTGTGGGCAATCTGGATACATTTAATTTGTCTGATATGGAAAAAACTCCCATATTCATGACTGATTTTCTTAATTTTTCAATGAAAATGACAGTTTATAATATGATTTTTCGTCTTGTTTACCTACAAACCATGCCCCGAAACACCTTATTCGACCAAGCTATACTTATAAAGCTTCATTAAAGGAATTTATTTCTCAAATTTGAGAAATCTGTAGGCTCCTTTTATTTACTAGATCTTGACCTTAACAACATTTAACACCAACATTAACGGTGACTATGAGGTAGTCAATTGAGTCATGTGACATGTGTCCTGTCTCCCCTTAATTTGAGCGTAAATAACAAAGATCATGCATGTTCATTTACACTAAATCTCGTATTTTTATTTTTTAGCTCAGATACGCCATATATAGCTTTAATTACATAGTTATGTATCCCATACGAAGTTTGGGAACATATTTTTTTTTCAAAAATTTCTTCTCCGGTACTTTTTTGTCCGCTAGATTCTCGGAAACTACTCATCGGATTGAGACGAAACCTTTTAAGGGTAAACAGGCATGTTCTGTAGATGCGCGGACTTGAATGCACGTGCGCGTGCGTGCGAGGAGTATTTTTAATAACTGATACAATCGAAACAGCTTTAACCTTCCCATTTTTGATGATATGCTTTGAACTTTATTATATAACATATATTAGTGGTGTGGATAAGATGAGATGGTTGAGTAAGCAAGAAAACACGCGCATGCACGTGTGCTTCGCTCTGATTGGCTGACACAAAAAAATCTCAATAATTTCACGGCGATTGTGACCGGTGTCGCATAATATTTGGTCCGCCTCATTTAAAGGTCCGGGGGGACCTAATACGATAACATATAAGGTCCGCCTTTTATAAGAAAAGGTCCGGCCCGTATAAGAAAAGGTCCGCCGAAGTTTAAAGGTCCGGGTGGTGCAAAAATGTTTTAATCTTGACTTAAACACATAAAATTAAAGAGAGTTTGTTTACATCATACGGAGAAAGATTAAGGATTTACCCTTGCTGTTGTGTTTACTTTTTTGTACAATATATCTCGTAGGGCAGGAATTGCTACTCCATGTTTAGTGTGCTTTTAGCAATACCGTTTAGGGCAATGATTTAAAAAATGTCGCATTTATTGGATTTGTGTTTGTTTTCCCCCAGCATTTGCTTTGTGTAAATTAGGACGATTAAAGGTGTGAAATCTGCCGGTGTGTATAGGCAATAAAACAATGGGGGTGTGAAGTATACCTGACAGGTACTCGCAGGTAGAGCCTGCGGCAGATAGCAATGACAATGTAATGGTCATGTGTTTGCTTTAAATCAATAGATATGAATTCTCTATTTTAATAAATTATGCTGAAGAACAAATTATAATATTGCTATGATATTCATGCGTACACATCAAAATTGTGATATGTATAATTATATATAGTCTATTTTTATTACAATATTTAAAGAAATTTCTTATTCCAAGTGTAGAGTTTAATACTAAGACCAATAGAAAATAAAATTATGTATATGCTTCCCTTTAGTTTTAACAATAAACTTGTTTTCAGTTTATAATATTTTGCCCTTTATTTGTGGATAGGGTAATATATAGCCTAATGTTGTATTCGATCTATATTTACTGCAGAAACAAAATACATGTAATGTTAAAGCTTAAAACAGGTAACTCAATGTTGAAGACATATACATCAGATTTAAAGTATAATCATGGTTTGGATTTAATTCTTTCTTATAAAAACATCACTCTTCCTCGTCATAATGAACTACATATGAAATAATATTTCATTTTTGTATTTTTTTTTTTCTTTTTTGCCAAAAGAAAAAGAAATTACACATTTTACTGTGACTATAATAGACAGACTGTGGGATAATCTAGCAGGCTGTATTGCA